CCTATGCAATTAAACAACATAAGTTCATCTGTACATTCTGTCAAATAAGGCAGGAACATACAACAATGAATGCAATCTCTCATAAGAAACAACAAACTCCCAATATCAACTGATGCCAGAGCTTGTCGCGATTCACAACGGCTGATGCTGTTGCACGATTACCTCTGCTATTTTGGGCAATACAAACAAATTTTACTGCATAATTTGCACTGTTGCTAAAATTTAAATATACATATGGAAATACCAATTCAATTCATCATATTTTGGGAAAAAACATGCAGCAGTGTGTTTTAGGATTGTGAATACTTTTTAACGTTCTGGCAATAGTTGTGATTAATTTGTATTTAATAAATCCTCGCCTAGTCTTATTTATACATTTTGCTGGCAGGCAAATTCCGATAAAGTAAAATAAAGTAGGTCGCACTGCCGCTTAAATAACCATTAATGATAATTTTAACATATTTTGCATATTTGTTAATTTAAACATATTATACTGCAGAAGCATTGTTTTTGAATTAACTCTTTCACGACCACCCCCTTTCGCATCATATTACGACACAATTTTTCAAAAATAAATATCGCGGCGAGTATTTATCCCCCTTTTAAATAAAAGCCACCATTGCTCTTTTGACTGGCTAAGGATTAAGAGTAGACACAGACAGCTTTTGTGTGGGAGAATGGGTTATGGGGGTGAAGTACTCCTGTTACAATAAGTGTCATATTATCAGTATATTTAACCCAATAGACTCTTTATGGCTTTATATTTCATCCTGCGGGGTATATATAAGGCCCGCTCTGAAAACCCTAGGGGTAATGGTCCATAGGGCTGCTCTGGGGGTAAGGGTCCCCAGAGCACATGCCAGAAGGGTAGCGACTCCCTCTGACCGTATTGACCTGAACCAAGGGGTAAGGGTCCCTTGGCCAGTTCCTATAACTCGACTAATTATCTTTACAATGAATGAGTCTATGGGCATGAAGGTGACCTTTGGGAGCACTTCAACCCCAAACCAGTAACATTTTTATTGCAATAAATTCGACAAATAACAACAACAACTATTAATGCTCTAATGTGAAGGTTTTTTTGGGTTTTTTTAAATTTATATATATATATATATATATATATATATATATATATATATATATATATATATATATATATATATATGCTATAAGGGAAAGTACATTTATTACACCGAGGGAGGGGGATGAAGATGTCTTGAAAAAAGCTCATATTTTTACAGGGCCCCTGTTGAGGTTATCGGTAAATTTCGATGCCCCCCTCCAAGTTTTTAAAATTTTCAATGCCCCCCTTCTCCCTCTAGAATTCGGAATCGAAGGAGTTCAATCCGGAATTCTCTCTTATCATAGATACAATTTGCAGTTCCTCAAGATGTCTGATATACTCAAGCATGTGCTTCTCCCCAACAAAACTACCGATCTGCTGCTTCTTTCACCTCGCTAGCGCCAGATGAAATGACACCGTCTTTAAAACATTTTAAATTGGCTCTAGGGGTGAAATTATCAACAGGTTGTTGTTGTCCATCATTCAGCGTATTCGGAGTCTTGAACACGTTCATGTAGTGGCCAGGATTTCCTGGATCAGGGTAATGTGCTGGAACCTTACAGTATGTCGCCCCAACCCAACGTATCTCCCGGCATCGGTTGCAAATGTCTTTGTATGCCTGTCAAAAATGCATGCAAAAGTGCCAGTAATGCTTCAATTTCTTTAATTTCCATCCCGTTTGTATGAAATATCCCATAAACATAGAACATATCATTCTTGCAAATCGTATATGCTTTTTTGTTTTTGGAACTGCTACTTTTTGGCGCGTAAATTACTTCACAAACCTGGCGCCAATAAGCTATAGGTGATTTCATGTATCCATTTAGAAGAGCAGACTAAGGATATCTTAAAACTGAAATCAGTTTCGAATACAACCATCAGGGACGTAGCAAAGCATCTGACGTTTGGGTGGGGGGATGTCAGAGGATTATACGTGTAATAATTATAATAAAGCTTTTTGTGATTGATTGGCACTCTCATACTAAGTTTTGGGAGAAAATGGGGGTCTGGGGGTCCTCCCTCAGAAAATTTTTACATTTTTGAAGCTCTAGGACTGAATTTCTGGCGTTTTCTTCATTTCACAAAAATAATTACTTTATTACGCAAATTTTACCTGAAAATGTAAAAATTTTAACTTTAATTTGCTGGGGTCAAACCTTTGAAAAGTTTAGAGCCCCCCCTTCAGTATATCAAGAACTTTCAGAGCCCCCCTTTAATGCCAGAAAATATTTCGGAGCCCCCCTTAACATCTTCATCCCCCCCTCGGCATAATAAATGTACTTTCCCTAAGTACGTCGTGCACCGTGACAGTGTACTTCAGTGATAGTGTAATATCCATTGATAGTGTTCTCCCATAGTTGTGATCTCCAATACTAGTGTTCTTCGGCGATAGTGTTCACCTTCCGCGATAGTGTAATCCCTTTGGACAAGTGGTGGGTGGGTGGGAAAATGTTACAACAGCTTTGGAACCTTTCTTTGTCAATACTTTGAAACAATTGATCTCTTTCAAGTGTATTTGGTCTATTTTACCGGCTTAACTGAATTATGATTGGTTGAATTTTTTGGATGACATGAAAGATATATTTTGATGGCTGAAAGATAATTGGTCATGAGATGTGCACGTGAACACTTTGGCAATACCAAGATGACCTTTGATATTTTGTACACATGATAGCTGTGGGTCTGTGACCTTTGTACCGTGTGCAAAATATTCAAATCTGTTGTCATATACATTAGACTAAACTTGTTGGATAAAGTGGGGAGCATTGCCCATTAACTTAAATTTATAATATATATAAATTAGCTTTAGAATAACATGTGACCTCTATTCTCCTATTCGAATTGTCCACTTCACCCGTTTTCATCAAATCTCGCCTAATAAATGTCGCCAATCTAGTTCTCTAATTTTCGAGCACTGCCGCCACTATTTCTCTTCGAAAATTGCTTAATCTCGCCTAATATCGCGCATTATTGGGGCGCCATTAGGCGATATTGGCTCTAAACTTGACCTTTTTAATTCTTTCAGAAATAGCCAAAACATTATACCGACGGTTAATTGACACAAAGTCATCTCATTTTATGAACAATCTAAAGACGTCTATAAAGGCAAGGGAGTTCCAGTTTTAGCAGCTATAACTTCGTACCGCGTAACTTCTAGTTAGCTTAACCCTAGGTCAACGTAAAATTCAAACCAAACTTCCTGACTGCTTGCTATAAATTTGGAAATATTTCTTCAGAGATCTTGTCTGGATCGATAGGAGTTTACTCTTCTGAAGTTTTGAAATAAACAGACGTGTGGAAATATACAAACTGAAATAGCAAATTAAATTTTAACCCATGGTTGGCGCTAACCAACCTTTCAACATCGGCCCCTGATTTCAAGCACACATACAAATAAAAAATGCTGTGCTGAGTGGTTATATTACTACCTTAAAAAATAAGCAGAAACTCGAAGTTTCGAGCGAAGGCCCTTCGTCAAGAGTTAGTAGCCAACTAGTTAGTGGCTAGAAGAGTTAGTGGCTACTATAACTCTTGACGAAGGGCCTTCGCTCGAAACGTCGAGTTTCTGCTTATTTTTTAAGGTAGTAATATAAGCACTCCGCACAGCATTTTCACATTGGTACTACCAACACTGGTACAGACAGTTTTGTTACATACAAATAAACCGTGACGAAAATCCAAATTCCTGGCGTTGGGCACTACACTAACAATGGCAATGCCAAATCGATTGGAGTGTGTCCTATAAGCAAACGAAAACTGAGAAACACATCTGCTGTCATAACTTCGCCAGACATTCTAGTTTCGATTTGGCATATTATCGCCCCCATAAACTGCATGCCAATGAACTATCATTTTAATAAAGAACAACGTTAACTGTGTACAGCCCCGTGCATCTTCCACTCCCATGAAACAAAAACTTAACGGTTTTCTAGTATTGCTGCTAGAGTTTTATATTCTACGTTTGTAAAATTACCCAAAAATGTCCAGCATTAAACTCCGAAATTAAAATACTAAACTATCTGCCTGCATGTAGTTTGATGTATTAAACTTATTGACACACTGAATTTACGGACCAGATTAAAAGAGCCGCCGCTTGATTATTAAAATTGTGTGTTTGTTTTGTGAAGGTCCTGAAGGGAATGGAGTCTTGATCCCATTTACCAATCCAAATATTCTTTAAATCCCACTTCCAAGCCCGTTTTTAGATCAAATTCCTGTCCCGTTGTGAAATTGGAAGAAAATCCCAGAGCAGATGATTCATCAAAATGATGATTTTCACACAATACTGCGTTCAATTGCCTTCTTAAGAACTAGTTTTACCGAGAAATAGGTATATGACTGACTGACAATAGAGCCATAAAACGGTTAAATTCAGTATTCCTGACCTTTTCTAGACACATTTTGTATGCAAAATTGCTATATGCAGCTGTTCAAAGTTATTTCACTCCGATATGTCCATCTACAACTGTCTCTATAATGGATAATGATGTTCCCATGCCCATTTTTGAGTCTTTCATTCCCAGTTGCCCAAATCCCTTTTCCCCTGCATTCCAAAAATGCGCCAATCCCAGAGTTCCCGTTTTACTCCTACAGGATCATCATTTGTTTGCTCCAAGCCATGGCCGCATTACATGTTGTCATTAATCACAAAGAAATGAACGGCATCAATTTGAATTATTGCTGTAATTTAACATTTATTTCTCCTTCACAAACAAAAAATATTCTAATTTACACTCCCCTAAACAGATTTGTTTTGCCGATTTATTCTACCAACGTTTGGATCAAAGTTCTATACTCGAAACGTCAGAGCCGTTGTTGAATCAAGTACAGTAGGTCGATCCCATAAGCTCTCTACTGTATATTATTATTGTTTTTCGCGCTATCACGCTCAAGTTGAGATTTTTGTTTATTACCTGTAGGCTAAAAAATTGCACTGATGTTGCCAAACAATATCACTGTGTGTGATCAAATAAACCAAACAAACGATGAGAACTATTATGATGAGAACTATTACGATGAGACGTACATAACAGGCGATGAAATATATTCAATCCTTGACCTTGTGATCCAGGATCATATTTGGGAGATAGAAAAAATCATGTTAATATTCATCGCCATCTTCACTGTCCTGGGAAATACTTTGGTTTTGGTTGCAACCTGGAAAGAAAAAAGTCTTCATCAGCCAAATAAATATTTTATTGCTAGCAGGGCGGTCGCTGATCTTTTAGTTGGTATCTTTGTGGCACCACTGTGGTTGTTTCGATTTTATAAAACCGAATCTGATGAACCACAACACGAAACAATTCCGTTTTATCATTTATGCGATTTTATTATTTGGATTGATGGCTTTGCATTGACAGCATCTATATACACACTGACGTTCATCAGTTATAAGCGATGTCTTAACATGAGCAAAGCACGTTGTAATAGATCACAAATGACAACTTTCAAATCACTGAAAATAATTTTCATCATTTGGTTGATTTCAACTGTCTTTGCCAGTTACGCTGCAACTCCCTATTCAGGGAGCATTGGAATTTTGTTTACTGCCGATGTCTGTTTATTTCATATATCTAAGAATTTCTATACTTTTGAAGCAGTGAATGTGCTTATTCTACCAACTGCTGTGATGGTGATTATGTACGCCCGCACTTTCCTTGTTGCATACATTGCCAAACGACAAAATATTTCACAAAATGGCACAAATGGGGAACTGGGACAATCATGGAACCATCCTAAAAAGCAAATTATTTTCCTTCGAGATTTGAAAGTTATACGGACGCTGTTCGTTGCCGTGGGAGTGTTCATCGTTTGCTGGGGTCCTTACCTTATTTGGATTTTGTTGAAATTTTACGATCCAGATGTTTTTGATGAGGATGAAAATTCAACAAGCTACTGGTATTCGTTTTTGATATCTCGTGTCGTAGTATTCACGCTCCCTCTGATTAACAGTCTATGCAATCCAATAATCTATGCTTGCCTTGACAAGAAGTACAAGAAGGCCTGCAAGCATCTGTTTCAGCAAATAATGTGCCGACCAATCTCACGAAAGCGACAACCACCTGAGGTCTCAACTGAGTTACGTCCATCAGAAACAACAACTTTGACCTGAATATTTCTGATTAATTAAATTGCAGCATAAATTTGGATAAATCATGGGGGTTGGTTTTTCCAAAGACAGTGAAATATTCCGAAGACGACGCTGTTTGAAAAAACTAACGAGTGCTTATTTTAAATATATTGAAACATTAATATACATATTTGCAAAATCTATGATACACATAACTATGTAAGAACCGTGAATTAGACTGAATGAAAATAAAGATATATATTCGAATTATGATCATTTTAAAAAACATTTCTTACTTTAGTATGCATTCTTCAATCAGTTCTTCAGGAGAATTAGATAAAGGATGTACTTCATTCTTCACGAGAAATCCAATTTTCAAGAATATTCAAGTCCTACCATTTAATTTACAAACGCATGAATCATACAGGGAAACTATTTTGCTTCCATTTCGAGTGACTTAATTTAATAATTTACATACCTGTTTTTTCTGTTCAACTTCATTTTCAACTGTTTTTATCTCTTACGACAAACATTTATTCCTTAATCTTTAACTAATCAGGTCTTTTATAAGCTTTTAATTATTTTTCAATTTTCCATATAATCACACAGGTCATTAATTAGCACATATCCGATTTTGTAAAGAGACGTTAGCAATCAGCCTTATCACTCTGATGTCTGCATTTTCTTCGCAGATGCTTTTAATAGTGGAGGGTCCGAATTTTATCAGTTAATTCGTACTGCTTACCTTTCAACGCAATAGAGCAATAAACCCGATGAACTATAACCTTACCCGGCTTGAGTTGAGAGAGAGAGAGAGTTGTCGTCACAACTGACTGGAATCAACTGAAAACGTTTTTCTTATTTCTGTTTATTTCGGTGTGATAATGCACGCGGGGAATGTTGGGAGAATACGAGAAAAGCGTTTAAAACCCAGGGCTTAGCCGAGTGTTTTACATGCTTCTTGAGTATCATCCCAACACTCCTGAGCGCTATCACACCATAAACTCACGAGACGAGCTATATATAAGTAGAAGATATGATATAGTAAACAATTTTACTCCAACGATTGACTGTACTCATGTACTCTGTGACGTCACGCGCATGCTTTTACTGTCGCGAATTTTCTAAACGAACAAAAACAATACAAAATTTTGATAAAATTTTGATGGTAAAGTTGCGGAGAAACTGTTTTTGGCCAAAACTTATCGAGGCCAAGCCGGTTAATTTTACTGTTTTTACACGCTGAACTATACATAAAATTACATGGTTCCTTTGGTTTATTCCTTCTTGCTTTCTGATCAATTTTTTATTTAAAATGTTCGATCGTTTTGTTGATATTTTTCGCTAAAAAGCAGAACGCGGGGGGAAAGTGGGGAAAACATAGATAGAGTAAGGCAATGCCGCGGACCACAGTGCATTATTACGTCACAATGAACGCGCATTAGCCAATCAGTTGGCACAATGTACTCAGGTGAATATGATGCTTGTGATGTTACTCTGAGTGTATATCCACACCGGGTAAGCTTGAAAATTATGCCTGACCACGGTGGGAATCGAACATACGACCTTTGGAATGCTAGCCCAATGCTCTGCCAACTGAGCTACGATGTCTGGTCGGTTCGAGTATGTGATATTTCGGAACAGAATCTAGTTCCTTCGATGTCAAATGTAATCTAATAATCATGATTTTTTCTGTGTTGAAAAATCTTGGTATTTAAATAAATACCAAGACTTATGATTCCGAACAAACTAAAAAACTCACGCAGCGAATATACAGCTATGCCTAACTTGATTTAACCGATTGGAATCCACGTCCAATATATGTAATTTTTTTCGCTACAGGGCTTAGGTTTTCCAGTTATGTCGTCTTACAACAGAAACTATGTGTGTAATCCGCTAACAGATCAAACGGAGACGTATGATGATAGCCATGATGAAATATCATATGATCATGAAATATCATCCTTTCTGGACCATATGCACTCACTAGAGAAGAACGTAACAATTTTTATAATGATTTTCACGATTTTGGAGAATACTTTGGTGTTGGTTACTACCTGGAGAGAAAAAAGTCTGCATCAACCAAATAAATATTTCGTTGCTTGTCTGGCTGTTGCTGATCTCATGGTCGGCCTATTTGTTGCACCATTATGGTTGCATGAAGTCATAAAAGAGGGCAATCACGATCATGATACCGTCGAGATGTCGGTTCATTTGTGCCGTTTTATTGTTTGAATAGATACTTTCACGTTAACAGCATCTATGTTTACGTTGACGTTCATCAGTTTTGACCGATACGTAAAAATCAGCAAACCACTTCAGTACAAATCACGAATGATAACTTCCACATCGTTAAAAGTAATATTTATCATTTGTTTGATTTCAACTGCTTTTGCAACCTACGCCGCCACTCCTAACTCAGGAAGTACTGGAATTTTCTTAACTGCCGCAAATTATTTAATGCTTGATCAGACCAAAGCATTTTACACATTTCTGGCAGTTAGTGGGTTTTTCTACCCACCACAGTCATAGTTGTTATGTACGTTCTCATTTTTCGTGTTGCTCACAAACGACAAAAAATGTTAAGAAATGGTGAACTGGGACAAAATGTGAACGCCTGGAACCAACAGACAACTTTACGTCAAGATCTGAAACTCATACGTATGTTGTTGATTGTCGTAGGGGTATTTGTATTTTGCTGGGGATCCTATTTTATCTGGCTTTTGTTGGACATTTATGATCCTAATCTTTTCGAAGGAGACGAAGACTCATTAAACTATTGGTATTCGTTCTCAATACCTAAATTCGTAGCAGTGACACTCCCACAATTCAATAGTCTGTGCAGTCCTATAATTTATGCCTGCTTTGACCAAATGTACGGAAAAGCATTCAAACACCTGTTGCAGCAAATAATGTGCCGTCCAAGTTCAAGAAGGAGACAACCATCAAATGCAATTGAGTTACATCGATTATGAACTCTAACCTTGACAAAAATTTCCGATTTAACTGTCTAATTAAATAGTAGCATACCTTATTATAGGAAATTAACGATGCACTTTATTAACGCGGATTTTAAAATTTCGCGTTAATTTAATTAATGTTAATTTATGTTATCGTTAATTTTAAGCATGCAAATTTTAGTTACGTTAATTAAAAAGATCTTGATTTGTTTTATATAACACGAACTCTTTTAACTCATATTAAACTTCAAAACAAAAACATCAGACCACCTTTTCACTGTCACTGTCAGAGTCTTTTAAGACTCTGACAGTGACAGTGAAGAGGTGGACTGATGTCTTTGTTTTGAAGTTTAATATGAGTTTTCAGCTTAAAAGCTGAACTATACATTTATTTACATTGGCTTAAATGACTGTAACTTTCAACGATACAGTTTTAATATATCTGCTCGCGTACTGTTTTAATTGGTAGTATATAGTATTAAATTTTTGCTGTTGTGTTTATATTTTTAGACTAGCTTGTGTTAGTTAAATTAACTTGTTAACCATAAACTGTCAGATTCGCGTTAATTAAATCAGTTTTAGAAGTAGCCTACCTGAAAGCAATTCGCGTTAATTACATGACATGTTAATTTATGTTGCGTTAATAAAGTGCATCGTTAATTTCCTATAATAAGGTATATTCCAGGTTAGGTATAGATAAAATTTTTTTTAAAAAATATGCATGCACGGTTTGCTTTTACGATCACTAAAAAGATTGCAATAAGTTCGAAGATATGCATGTGCTATTTGATGTTTTTGAAAAGCTCACTAGTGCTTGTTTTAAACCATCTTATTATACTTGTTAATCGAGAACGTATTCTTTCAACTCACCGTCTTCTTCGAACATTTTGCTGAGAAAGCTTCTGCCAGTTTGACATGTCATTTTAGTTCTTTTACAATGATTTGACAGTTTAGTTTTCCATCAACGTAAAAAAAGTGATCCTTTAAATGCCAACGCCTCAGCGTTGTTATCATCCTATTCTTAAAAACGTTTGAAATGACAAGGTAACTTATTTCGAACACTTTCGCCTGCACATTTTAATTCGGAGATACTGTACTTCAGTGTGTTTAATATGCAAATATTAGGAGCTTGGGTCACATATTGATAATGAGTTAAAATCAAACACTCACTGATGTACATGAAGTTGCAGCGAATGTTATCGTTATTAAGCTAGCGCACCAGTTGTGTTTATACTATATATGTTTGTTTATAATGGTCTTAATACTTTATGTGGAGTTTTTATACTTCTTCTGTTAAGAAATACGGAGGGTTGCTCCATGCATGTATTTGCCAGTATTTTTTGACCAGACATTATTCATTAAGGGAGGGGGGGGGGGTGAATGGGGGTATACAAATCCGCCGATCCGCCCAAATTTGAAGCAAAGTCCGCCGTCCGACAATGGTCTTGTCTAAATTTGAATCCGCTAAAAGCTGTACTATGAAGTCACAATCCAGGATCCGAACTAAATTGCAAGCAAAATCCACTTGAATATGAAGACACTTGAATATGAAGCATACTGCAAACTGAATATCTCAAGATCAACGCGAATGAAGGAAAATCTTTAAAAAGAAGTTACGTTATTAGCACTTAAAATTTTGATAATTACCAACAGAATGAACAAATGGAAACAGTGCAGTACTTAATAATCCGTAATTCATTGCTCGGGACATTGAACTATAGCTATCTGGGAACAATCAAGATAGGCCAGGCCGTGGGCCGTCGTGCGAAAAAGTACGTAGAAAATCAATTTCGTGGCAACCCCATGGGGAATACATTTTTTGTAGTTCAATTCATAGTACCATAGATGCTAAATTACCACAAAAAGTTCCCAAGCAAAAAAACTTGCCAAACACCGAGAAAATGGGTGATCAGTGATTATCCTCTATTAAATTTAAAAAAACTTTGGTGGGACTTAATTGGATCTTATTTAAGATCCGTTGTCCTTTTCCTTCAACCATTTGTTAATATATGTTATTGATTGTAAAGTTAATAAAAAAGAAAAAAAATTGTATTACAGCAAGAAATGTGAAATTTGTAATTAAGTTACAACAAAAATGACTTGCATCATCAGAAAACTTACAGAAAACCGCATATAAGACATTTAAACAGTTTTTTTAATATCTCAAATTGTTTTTGAGTTATACGTTGTCAAAGACGCGTTTTTGACTAGTACCCAGTCCTTATTGCGATATTTTGGTCCAATGTTTCACATTTAAAACAGCAATAGAGCTCAAAGACCATTTGAAGGATAAAAAGACTGTTAAAAAGTCTTATATGCGACTTTTTGTAAGCTTTCTGATGATGCAAGTCATTTTTGTTGTAATCTTGATTTCGTCCGTGCATCCAAATGACATGTATTTGTACCGAACTATCGAGCTATGTAAACCTGAAGAAAGTGCCAGAAGTATCTCCAAAGCATGGCCGATGTTACACCTTTTCTGAGTCCAATTGTCTTTCTTTCCTTTCGGTAATAACCACTGACCAGCTACGATTGTAAACTTTAGACAACAACTTTCATCCCCATGATCCCCCGCCATTTAAAGCGACCCAATGTTATGGTAATTATTTTCTTAGGAACGCTGTGAGAAGTGCGGTGTCTTACCAAGTACTGCTTGACAATTTTAGTATCTATACGATTGCTTGGGTCTAATTAACATGTTTCAGAGAAAATGCTCTGGTAGAATTCACTGAAAGGCGGCTGCCACATTTTCTAGTGAGGGATTCTTTGAGCCTATAGAAACAACCATGCAGTTTTGAGGCCTATTCGCTTAAAATCTGTTTCAGACTATCGCCCGTATTCTAAAAGCTCATTCACACTCAATGAGTGGAGGTTCAATCTGAGCTTCTCTTGAGTGTCAGTGCTGTTTATAAATAGCTGAAGGGTTAGTGTCTTACCTTACTATGCGACTACTCGTCCTCCAGCTTTTCAAAAACAGCACTGATTACTGACACTCAAGAGAAGCTCAGACTGAACCTCCACTCAATGAGTGTGAGCGTGAGTGAGCTTTTAGAATACGGGCGTTAGGCGACATACGTTTTATTTTGCCATGATATAAAGGATTAAGTTCGTTCATGTGAACGATTTTGGAATTTACAGCTTCAGTTTATGTTTATTCTCCGAATAAAAACTTCACACTTATTACAATGGACGCAAAATCTTTATCTCTGTTTGTGAAATAATTAGTAATTCATGAGGGAAACACAAACACTATGAATCATGCCTTATATATACAGGCTGTCCTGAAAGGGCTTCTGCACCGCCACCCAAACGTTTAGTCAATAATAGTTTATAGTAGGTTAAAAGCTTGGTATATAATGAGTAAAAACTGTTCTCAACCTTTAGCACAACCTCGTTCCCAGGGCTTTCGTGCGATGACGAGGGGAAAGTGAGAGAGAGCCTGTTCTGGGCCGGTCAATATATTTTGCATTCTGATTGGCAAACACCATATTGTCTAAAAATAGCAGAACTTGGTGATAACAATTCAACATATGTATTTTTATGATTGTTGTGTACGAGTATATTTTGCAAAATAATCTTTCAAAGTAAGAACGTGGATGTATGTGAACAACGAGCGTTTTCAATTTTTCCGACTGCACGATTTTGCAGTTTCAGAAAACCCCAGCCGAAAATTGCGATTATACGATAAAATAAAACAAAGTTTTTAAAGGGGATAAAATTTGTAGGCGAGCATTGTCCCTGAACGGCATGTAATGATGTCAAAACAAGCGAATCCGTATATTTCCTGCGGTATACAACTAAACAGATTTCGTAAGGTTTATATCTGCGTTTATTTATATCGAACTAAGTCTACGAGCATGTTCAAAATACTGAGAGAAAACAATTTCAGAACCATCTCAGGAGATACGAAAAACCAGTTTCATAAAGCGAATTTCGTGTGAATCGCCAATTAACTGAAATATACAAATTTTCGAAACAAGTAACAAATGAACAATCAAAACACTTCTCAATCGATATTATTTATATATAGCGAAGTTTGGCACGAAAAGTCAGCCGATATCTCTGTAGACACCGTCGATGTTTTCTAAGATATACCTATATTTCTGGAGATCTTTAACCACAGTGCCAGACAAAGCCGACAACTGTATCTCAAGAATACGAGTAGCTGTCAAATATGCTCATATCACGTGACCGACCCAGACTAGGTCTTTCTCTTCTCTCCCCTCGTCCTAGACTTTCCAAAGTCCGCGTTTCGTGGTTCCTGGAAGCTACGGACTTTTCTCACCCGCAAGCGCGCCAAATTCACCGGTGCATTTTTGCTCCAGTGACGTCAGTGAATGCTCATTATTATTCTGTACTAACGACGCCATTTTGTAAAATTTATATTTAATACAAACAGACGCGAATCGTCGAAAATCACTGTAAAAATCTCTAGCTAAAAAATAAAATGGATATAAATTCAAAAGTAAAAGAAACTATAAGTTATGGTAGTAAAAAACTGGGTTATCAATCGTTAAGAGAAGTTCAACAGAAAGTTGTAGAAGCCTATCTTATTGGAAAAGATGTGTTTGTTTGCCTCCCTACGGGTTCTGGGAAGAGTTTGTGCTTTGAGATAGCACCCTATGCACTTGAGTGCATGCAATATGGTTTAACTGCTGTTGAGGAACAGACTGCACCGAAAACGGTTTGCATAGTTGTTGCGCCGTTAGTCTCTCTGATGAAAGACCAAATATCTTCGTTGAGAAGTAAAGGAGTATCTGCTATTTGTATTGGACCAGAAAGCACTTCATCTGATATTGAAGACATAAAATCTGGAAAGTATAACTTAATATTTGGTAGTCCAGAAGCTCTACTGAACAGCTACAGAACAATTTTCAGAGGATATTTAAGGAACGTTTTGGGAGCTGTATTTATTGACGAAAGTCATTGCATTGAAAATTGGTAAGAAACACTTCAAGTTGAGACTAGAGAGATTGAAAAGTATATATACATAGAACATATAATGTCTCTTGTACTGGAAATGTGCCGTATTTAGTATTTTTAATAATCTGCCTACAAATGCCAGACAATTTGACTTGATGATTTTTACTCTTCATGATCAGTGCAATAGCACTCAGTCTGACAATTAATATTTGTAATGTAATTTGTTTATCATTTTTAGGGGAAAATGTCAAGGTAAGGATGAACCTTTTAGGATAGACTATGGCCGACTTGGTGAATTGAGATCCCTTATCAGGAAGGAAGTACCCTTTGTGACCTTGACTGCGACTGCAACAACTATTGTTAAGGAACAAATCATTCAAAATTTGTGCATGCAAGGATGTATTCAAGTTTTGGCTAACCCCAACAGAGACAATATTCGGTATGCTGTGTTAACAGTTGATATAGATAATTTGTACACATCATTTTCTTGGTTAATTGACGAGCTTTTAAACAAGAGTGTCAACACTCCAAAAGTTATTGTATTCTGTCGCAGAAAGCAACATATGAAAGATCTATACGAATTATTTAGTCATCATTTGGGCAAGAAAGCCTATTATATGCCTAATGGAAATGAACCTATGGATGACCGAAGTCGTTTGTTTGCGATGTATCATAAAAAAACCCACAAAATTGTAAAGGAAACCGTGGAAAAAGAGTTCTGCAAATCTAATGGGACGATTCGAGTTCTATTCTGTTCCATTGCATTTGGGATGGGTGTAAACATAAAAGATGCATTTTTGGATTTGCATCTTGGACCTGCGGCAGATTTGGATGACTTCCTGCAAGAAACAGGACGGATTGGAAGGGGGTCAACACAATTAAGTCATGCGGTTCTGTTAAAGTACAAACGATGCACTTCAAGTAAAAATATTACACTTGCTATGAGAAACTATGTTAATAATGATACCAATTGCAGAAGAGATATGCTTTTAAATCATTTTGATGTAGTTGTTCCTGAGAAATCTATTCTTCATGAATGTTGTGACATATGCGCCCGTGCATGCAAATGTTTGTGTAAATGCCCTTGTGACTGTTCATGTTCTAAGAAATGTGCACAAGATGGTTGTCTTTCATCTGTTGAAAAACATCTTGCGGAATTGGAATGTGATCAAAGAAAAGATAAACACCCAGTCCACAACTTATCACAAACTAGCATATTTAAGATGGAAAGTAATCTTTTACAGTATAGGTTACACTTACAAAACAATCTTTCTGGACAACATAACTTGAATATGCTAACTGGATTTGATGCAGCTACTGGTTATAGCAAAAGTCTTATTGATGCCATTATAAAGAATGCCAGATACATCAAAGACAAGGAGTACCTAAATGCAAATTTTGCATTTTTTTGTGATGAGCATATGGAAAAGACATGGGAAATAATTAACTCTTTTCTATGTGATACTGACTCCAACAATGTTTGTACAAATATACTTGTAGATAAATGTATTGCAAACCCTATCAATGATTCTGGAAGTAGCGACTCATATAATACAACCGAGTCATCTTCATCTGAGGATAATTGGCAAAATCCGAAAAAGATGGTATGGCTTCATACTGGATATTCAAGTTCTGAAGACGAAATTTCCATCAGCTCGAATTGTTCATCATAAAAGCATTAAGTTATAGTAAGTTTTTTGAGTATACTATACATAATGATAAACTGAACATTTTTCAGTAAAACTGCCTGAAATATAAGTAGGCGGTTTATACCATTACATTGCAAAATTATAAAACCTTTCATGAAATACAACATATAAAGCTTGTTTATTAACAAGGTGTGTCATTGTCACAAGTATTTGTATCAAATTTCAAGTTAATACAATTATTTTGTCAGGTGGCACCAGTTAAGAATATTTTAATTGTTCACATAACAATGCAATATTTTCAATGATATTGAAATAAACAATGTGCTTTATCAATTTAAGCACATAAACTGTATTTTCTTGAAATGTTTTGACAGCCATGTTGCTTGGTTTACTGTAGTTAGCCACTGTAACTATGAAATATTCCTTTTTTCATAATGACGTCAAACACAGAATATTAGATGTTACACGAGTTTGATTGATTTCATGTAACATTAGTCTTTCCCATTTGACGTCATTATGGAAAAGGTCTATTAAAGATTTTAGAAAATATAGCATTGTTTTCATGTTTGGTGCATGTATATTTAATAACAGTGGCATATTAACTAAGGATGTTTTAAAGTAAGAGGACTCAAACTGACATGCTGCATTTATCTCTAAGAATTGGAATATTGCATGAAAGTTCTAAATGCCCCTTTCGTTACAGGTTTTCGAACATGCGCAAAGATGTTTGCTTTAATATTTGTGGGGGTGATATGCCCATACATGCCTATATAATACAGTCCCAATGCATTAATTATCTTTATTTGTAGTAGCTCTTTTCACAAAACTTTTTCATTGAATTCTTCACCCATAGCTGGAACTTGGTCATGTCCAATTCATCAAGTAAATTTTCCTTCATGTTTGGAAAGGCTTTGTGGCACCGCCCGAGAATGCACTTGTATAGTTCTGCTTGCTGAAACTCTTCAACTAGAATCTTGACTTCATCTTCATTCGAGATCTTCGAGTGTCTCCCAGATGGCTTCCGAACACATGCTGATTTATCATGACTAGCCAAAATTGCGTTGGACACCTCAATGCTCTGACTTATTCGTGAGATACTTTTGTCTGTGATCTCTCCTCGGAAGCTATGAATGTCTGTTTTAAACGATTTGTTGTCATGTTCAACATCTAGATCTATCGGATGGTTTGAATCAATAAGTCCTTTGTGATTAACGAATCTATTCCATGTCAATGAGTATGATAACCTTGGACTTAACAGATAATTTATCTGTGCTAATAACTCAAGGGTAGCATATGCATATTTAGGGCATCCAGAAATTTTAAAGAACAGATAAAAGAACTTGTAAGTTCGAACAACTCGACCGCCATCCCCAAGACTTATGGCATTGTTGTGGTTTATCCGTAAAAGAAGCAAAACTAATACCTGTCGTGTGTAGTTATAAATGTGATCCTGTTCACAGGTTATCATATTGGTAGACTCCTGCGTGTCCTCAACGTGGCCATGCTCCTTCTTCTCGTGTTTATTAAGGTAACTTCTTCGTACATACTTCTTACCACAGTACCGGCAAGTCATGTTGTCAATCATCACTGCAGATTCCTGCTGTGTCATTTGATTAATGACATGTTTGTCAATAAAATTTCGAACAGTTCTCTGAACATAGCTTTGTTTGGCCTCTTCATCATTTGGAAGACCCTCATATTTATTAACCGTTTGTTCATCATTCATTGATGTCATTCCAAATGATCAAGAGCACCAGCAACCAAATAGGCATCACCAAACTTATCTAAGAACTCACTTGCTGCATAATAATTCTTGGAAGGATCCTTTGTTACATTTCTTGCACAGATTAAATTTCTTGCATGATAAAGAGTTCCAGGATCTCTTACAGATGATACACTATATAAATGCAGCCATATGACCTTTAAAATAAGAAACAGTACTTTTAACCATTGAATACTTGTGATTAAAATTCAATAAATAATGTACACAGCTTTCACCAGCATTTTTATCATACACTTCTAAGAATGGTCAGATTAAAGTTTACGTCCTTTCAGAAAAATACTTCATGGCTCAACCTCGTACCCAGGCTCTTTCCTCAGGAAAGAGCCTGGGTACGAGGTTGTTTGTGGCTTTGATGCATAACCTAGCACTGGATTTAAAGGCTGCCTCAGCCTAGACAAAAGCCTTCCATTTCTACCCTGTAATGTCATTAGCCTAATGCCATAGCAGCTGCCACCTGCTAATGCCAAAGTCGAGTAAAGGCCTATGTCTAGGCTGAGGCTGCCTTTCATGTCCATTGGACAGACAGATTGGGAGAATTGTTCCGTTGGATGAACATTTTGAAGCATTTAGGCTTATATCACATCCTACCAATACCCATTCCACAATAAATAAATCGTAGTGATAGCTGGAGTAGTTCCAACAGCATTTAAGACAACTCTCATTTATATGGTGGCTGATGTGGGTGTGTGTAGAAATAATTTTAATCTTTGTCATATGTAGCTTAAAGTCTTTATGAGGAGCAACTTATACTAGTGATCAGGATTCTGCCATTATTTTTAGATATTGCCAATCATAACCAATGAGAAATTGTTTCCAGTAATTACTGCATGATCTTAGTAATCAAATGAAAAGTGTTAATTGCTACAGCTGTACATCTTACTCTAATGATTAAGATGTACAGATGTAGCAACACTTTTCATCTGATTACTAAGTGGAAAGAATTTCTCATTTGGTTATGATGGGCAATATCTAAAAATAATGGCAAAATCCTGATCACTAGTATAAGTTGCTCCTCATAAAGACTACATATGACAAAGATTAAAATTATTTCTAATTATATACTTGCATTACTCTTCTGCTGAAGTTAATTTGTCTGGTAATAGACAAAGCAAAGGTGCTAAATGTGAACATTTGGGCTCATTTAAAGATAATGGTTTAACAAGAGGCACTGTTAACACTCTTCAACAAGTGGGTAACATTGTCTGGTGTTAGACAGAGTAAAATGCTAAAATATGGGTGTTTGGGCTATTGCGAGCTAATGGTTAATATTTATACTGTACCTTTAACCATTCGCATTGAGTGTGGAAATCTTCAAACTTGCTTACTAGACCAAGTAGTTTTGCAGATGGTGTTCTTCCATCTTGCATTGCTGATTGTGCTGATTTGTTCTGCTCATGAGTAAGGTAATCACCGCCATTTAATACTTTTACTAAAGTACCAGGTTGATCATCCTTATCTGAATGGCCTGGAACATATTTGTGAATCCACTCCAATATGTCTATCATATCTTCCTCGTATTGCTCGTGTTTCCGAATTGAAGAACACCTAAATGTACCTGTTGCAAACAAATGTATTAAAATAGTTGTATATACCCGAGGAAGGCATATTTTAACATATATACTGGGGGGGGGGCAATTTGGCCGGGCAACTCACACAAAATTGCCCCCACTCCCTGGGCCCTTTTAACATATTATTGCATTTAAACTGTTACCTCAGACAATCATACATTGGATCGTTACAGTGTGAATGGTATGACTTTGTATGTATTTGATGAAATATTAATGCTTTTATGACTTTTATGGTTTGAAATTAAGTTTTAATTAAAAACACAAAATGACTATATTTTAATATATACACGAAGTAATGCAAATTATTATTTTAATTTTTGGCCTCTGTCTCTGATTGTAATGTCCACAAAATGGAATTGACTTAGATGCTATATCATATGTATAAGTTAATAAAATTTTTATTGAAATAAAACATTCACTTTTTTAGTATTCAGAATTATTTAAAATCGCCTCCCAAAAATGCATGAAATGGCAATTTCAGAGACTCCAGATTTCAAAATTTCGCGGGGAAGGATCCCCCCGGAACCCCATGCAAGGCTTGTGCTTTCGGTGCTTGGCTTCAGTTATGGCCCCCCACTGCTAAATCATTAAAATATGCCTTGTACCCCAGTGCTGTTGTAAGCAATTTCTTATTTGGGTTGGAGCGGTATATATATGGCCTGCATTTTTGCATTCCTGGGACAAGTCTCAAAATGCAGGGCAATTTTTTTAAAGGTGATCTACAGTCCAATCTGCGCATGTGCACAAAGGAGCCCACTTTTATGATACAAACAGTTTAACTATGTTTTGGGTTCTTGCAAAGCCTGATTGTTGTTTCTTGATCATTTATTATACTCTAGAAGCTTGAAAATATAAATAGTTGTCGAATAAAGCTCAATATTTTGGACGCAAAAATGTAAACAAAGGCTTTGTTTACATACGGACTGTAGATCACCTTTAAAGAATATAAATAATGTAACCATTATTTATATTCTCAGCAATGCGTTAATCAGAAATGCCTATGAATTACTATCATTTACCTTGTTTGTCTTCTTCTTAACATCTTCCATGTGCTTGTGAGGAATGTGTGTAGGAACATTATCATTGAACCAACTCAAAGCAGGAATGTACTTCGCCCATAGTTGACATACCATAACAGTGATTTCTTCAGCTAAACTTGTTTGTTCCATTGCACTTGGAAGAAAGGTTAACCATGATATTTTGTCTACATCGACAATGGGCTGATCATCGCTTAAATTGTTAGGTGAAATCCTGTTTTCGTATGCAACGTTCTGAAACATATGGAAGTCTTTGTTCTGTTTAGATTTCATCATTTGTCTGGGCTTTATAATAAAGTCCACATTATCTCCTGCGAATGAGTACGACGGATGCATATTCTCTCGGTGTTTTTGAAGCTTATTGGCTTCCGAAATAATCTCTTCTTCAGCATTCGGATCCAGCTTACTCGACTTTGACAAAATTTCCCTTTCTTTTTTCACATCTTTCTCTACCTGTTCTTTCCATGTCAATAATTTGATGTCAAAATCTTTGGCAAAAGTTTCGAACATTTTGTTAGTTGACTTATACCCCATACACGCGTATAATCGAGCCAATCTTTGGAAACCGATTTTCTTCAGCCCGTTCTTCTTAAGAATTACGCCCTTTATTCTTCTGGTAGCACACATTCCTTCGCTAAAAATGGAGATCAGTTGAGAAGCAGCGTCACACATAGGTGGTATGAGGTTATCGTCCTTTTTGTTTACATTTTTTGCCTGGGAAGGGTTCTGGACAGAAGCTTCAATAAAGCGCATGAACATCGGCGCTCTTTCTTTCAATTCTTTATGAATATTCTCCCACGAAAATTTAGCGAGATCTTCTTTGGACGTTTTGCGCAGAATTGATGGGTTGGAAGTGGCACATAAATTTGTTATTTCGTTATTAACACGACGAGCGGCTATAGCCATTACTTCGTCCGCAATATCATCAACAGAAAAAACAGCAGAGGCAATTGATTTATGATTTCCTAATGCCAACTGTCTCGCTAACCGAAGATATTTTTCTGGAAGAACAACCCTTTTTTCTTGGCTATTTGGGTAACTAGTTATGACCTATAAAGCGAAGGGAAAAACAGTTGCAGTTTAAAGTCAATCAGTCCGCCCAAAAATTATATAAAATATAAACAAAGCGCCAGCAAAACATTTCTTAATACACACTCCGATTGTTATTAATATTGTGTTAAATCTTTATAGAGAATATCAATTAATAATATAGCAATAATTTGTACTATTTACAACATGAGCGGCCGTGTTGTATCGGATATACAAACTCGAGCCGAAGGCGAGAGTTTGTATATCCGAATATCCGATACAACACGGACGCGAATGTTGTAAATGACTGAAAAAACGACTCATCGTATGAGTTCATTGGCGAAGTAATTTTAAAAATAAACGTTGTCTAAGCCGAGAAAATCAAAGTTAAAGTTTATGTAAATCAACATGAATCTGTATCGCATATACAGACTCCTTCAGGCCCATGATTTCTTTTGTGTTTTCTTCATGA